TTATTATTATTATTATTATTATTATTATTATTATTATTATTATTATTATTATTATTATTATTATTATTATTATTATTATTATTATTATTATTATTATTATTATTATTATTATTATTATTATTATTATTATTATTATTATTATTATTGTTATTATTACTATTATTATTAGTTATTAGTTTATTAAAAAGTAAGTTTTTCTTTTTAGGTAAACATTTTTAACCTATATACTTATTAATTTTATGCTTAAAAGAGTAATGAAATAAATTAATACATTCAACGGATTATTAATCAAAATTTGTTAGAGCAGTAAACAAAGAAAGGAAGGAAGAAAAAAAAGAAGTAAGAAAGTAGGTAAAAATTATTAGGTGACAAAAAAAGTAAAATTAAATTTTAACGAGCAAAAAAAAAGGACCACCTGAGCAAGATGTTTAATTTAATCGGAAAAATTACTGACCAAATTTCAAGATAGCACAAAAAAGATTAAATTTCAAAATAGCATTTTGTAGCAAAAGTTGTAATCATTCAATTTTCTTTTTTTTTTGTTTCTTTTTTATATTTTCGTTATTCTTGTAATCTAATCTTTAAAATACTTTGATTAACAAACTGTTTAAATATCATAAAATACAGACTTTAACTCTAATTAGAAGAATAAAATTTTCGAGAAATTTGTTAAATTTGCAAAAATTCGGTAGAATTCACAAAAGAAATGCCTTTGAAAAGGATAATTTCAAAATATTCACTTAGCTGAATATGAATTATTTAAATTTGTTCAAAATTTCAAATATAATTATCGTTTTTTTCTTTTTTTTTGTAAAAAATTTTTTATTTGCAGTAGTACATTTTTGTGATCCATCAATACCAAATGCTTGCGATTTGGGCGGAAAATGCATGCGACATTTAACCGGTAATCGATGCCGTTGTCCAATCGGTCGTATGGGTATCATGTGTCGCAGTAAGTGAAAATTAAACTATTTCCAATATGTGCATATTTGAAATTTAAAATGGTTTTGATGAATCAATTTTTAATAAATTTAATAAAAGACTTTTTTTTTTGATTTTTAGGACCTTGTCAAGATATCTATAAGTCATGTAAACGTTGGAAAGAAGAAAATCGTTGCCAATGGGCTAAACATATTTTACCATTTTTTGAAGATAATTGCGCAGAAACTTGTGGTTTATGTCAAAATAATGGCAAATGTTAGTTTAAGCTTAAAAAAAAGGAAAAAAAGAAAAAAGCTTGTGGAATGGTAAATATTTTCCATTTAAATAATTTTTAATCAATTATTTTAACTAAATATAATGACATTACAAATTTTTTTATTTATATTCATTTGTTTCAAAATTTTCCTACAGTTACGTTAACAATAATTTTTATACACGTAGCATGAAATGAAAAATTATTAAATAATGATTAAAAAATTAATTCTTGGAAAAAAATGATAAACAAATTGAAATTAGATAACTTATCAATATTAAAATAAAAAAAGGAAAGACTTAATAAGCGTATTAAAATTTGAATTCCTAAATCATATTTTTATGAGTTATTTATTAAAAAGTAATTGAAAATTTTATTAAATATTATTAAAGCATTTGATTTAAATATTACTTTTATTTTTATTCAATTATTTTCTTTTAATGCATGTCTTTTTAATTTTATTTGTCTTTAAAAAATATTTCGAATGCTTATCAAATATTATTAAATACTTATTAAAGTAATTCGATAATTTTTTTTGAGATTTTTAAGTATCACTTGAATTTTATGCATTTAAAAAAAAATTGTATCCAATTTAATACCTAATTCAATACAGATTTAGTGATAAGTTATATGCTTATCGTAACATGATATTCTACTAAACGTATTAAATTTTTTAGCATTAAAGATTCCATTACCGCCTATTCTTGAACCAATATCATGGATAATTGGTCATTGGGAAACGGAAACATTATCCGGTGATCGATTTCCGGTATCATTTGAGCAACCATACAAGGAGGTCTTGGATATTTCACTTACCGATGTACCAATGTTCGATCGTCCACCCGTTAATGTTTCGTCGGTGTTTTCTTCCGAAATATTCATTACATACATATTTATCGATCAAAACAAGCAAAAAAAAAATGAAAAAGCATTCATTTTTTACAAAACAAGGAAAAAAATTGATTTAGTTGAAATACTTTCACATTACAGTATCCTATTTCTTCAAATCTCTAGCTTTTACATTACAGTACCCAACTTTTATTACGGTATCAAATTTTTCAATTTATAGCTTTTGTATTATATTATGTAATTTTAGATATGTTTGAGTTTCGTTTCCACTAAATATTTCAAGCATTCACAGAAGTTATGATTTAAAAAAAAAAAACTTGTTTAGAATTCGAGCATATACTTCTGATGGAGCAGAATATAATGAAGTTGGTTTCATGACTGGAAAACCGTTCCGTGAAGCAACCGGATTTCAGGAATACAATAAATCAATAATTAGAAATGATCAGGTTGCTATTGAAATGGTCAGTAATACAGGTACTGTTACTAATTTGAAAATAATTTTTAAATGAAAAAAAGAGATAATTTTTAATTTATATTTTTTATACTTTTCCATTTTCCTGAATTATTTTTGCTATTTAAAAGAATGAAAAAAGTTTTTTTTTATATGATATTTTATAGATTTACATTATTTTTTTTCCATTTTTCCTGTCATTTTTGAAATTCTTTAAAAAAAAGAAAAAAATTTCTGGAATTGTTAGTATAGCAAAAACAAAGCTTTTCAAATATAAAACTTACTGTTTCCTATGGGAATTTCAACTGAATTATGAACAAAGAATATAACAAAAAAAAAGTTTGAAGGCAAAGAAAGCTTGAAGGTTTTTTTGAAGTTTGAAAAAAAGTTTAAAGGTTTTCCTAATTTTTTCATTTTAAACTTAAAAGTCTAAATAATACCATAAATATATTTTTGGATAATTTCAATTTGATGAAGTAAATGTTCAATTCAAATTGCCGCCTAGAGTTCAATCATTAAATATGCAAAATATACGAATATAATCTTTGAATATAATTTTAATTTAAATTATTATAAATTATAATAAATATTTGTAAATTATTAGAATTGCAAAAGAAAGGAAGCTATTGTCAGATATGGCAATCAAATAAAATGAAATAATTTAGCAATTTTCAATTCTTGAATTGATTGTGATTATATTCGGTAAGTGAAATGAAATAATTTAACTTAAAATGGTTCCTTTTAATTAGTACTATATTTAATCAATAATTAATCATTTATGATTGTCTGTATATTAAATTTGACGATGCTTGTAATTTTGTAATGATTCCTTTTAATTAGCATTATATTTCGTTATTAGCATCCAATTTCTGCTAAGATGTTACCTTTCTTTAACTGAATTAAATTGAAATTCAATTACGATAATTTCACATACTTCAATTAATATTTGATATTAAATATTAATTAACAGTTAACAGTCATTAATTAAGGTAGCATTATTAATAGATATTTAATTTTTGTCAAACCTACTTATGCCCACATTAAAATTTTCATTACTAATATGTAATTTTTGCTAATTATGCTCAAACTATGATTTACAATGTAAATCACTTACTTTTCCCCCTGATGCTGTATTTAATTAATTTAACTAATTAGCTTCATCCATTGTTATTGTTGCTATTTTAGGTGTAATTACAATTGAAGAAGGAATGTTACAAAATGGTGAAATTTTGCTCACATTAAAATATAAGCATGCAATTCCAGCAGCTATTCATTATCTCTTAAAAAAGGTACCAATTTCCTTTTTTCCTTTTTTTTTTAAATCCTTCCTTACCTTGAATTTAAAAAATTTTTGTTTTATAAAAAAAAAAATTTTTTTTCCTTTTGCACATTTTGAAATTGTTTGCATATTTTACGCTAACATAAAATTTTCGTAAAGGAAAAAAAAAGGAAAGAAAGAAAAAGATACTAGTTGATTCACATTTATCAAATACTTATTTATAGATTTATGTAAACATATCTTCCCGATGTATATTCCCGAGAGCTTTACTGATAGTTGAAAAAATTTTTTATTATAAGATTATAAAATGCTCTTAATTGATGTTAAATTAAAATAATAAAATTTTGGTAAAAAATTTTTTCGGATACTTTTTTTAAATAGTAACAATTTTTATAATAGTAAAGAAAAAAAATTATCAATTATTAAAAATAATATGTGTAATTTACATAAAAAATAATATTTTGCAAATTTTTTCAAAAAAAAAGTACTTTTGTATAAAATTAATCGATGAATTATGAAAGAAATGAAATTTTTATTCTTGTTATTATTGAATATTTTTTTAAAAATATTTTTCATTGGAAATTATTAAAAGTTTGAAAAGGATAAATTATCATTATAAATTTCAATATTATATAAACAAATAAAAGCGAATTTTTCCCTTTCTTTCAGTCACGACGAATTTTTAAATTAAAAAATTGGAATGTATTAGTTGAGAAAACATATATGGAAGATTCAAATGGTGAAATCCGGAAATGGATCAAACGATATCGAAGGACAAAAGATTATTTAAAGGAATATTAGAAAAAAAAAAAGAAGCGAACAAAAAATTGATAAATCTTACCAATTCGAAACTACCTGATAAGCTGATAGTATTCTTTACGGCATCCTAAAAGTTTCACTATTTGTTTTTCTCATTTGATAATACAAATATTATCAAATTTTAACAAAATTTATGGATGATTCAATTAAAAGAAGATTGCATAAGCTTTCATGAAGTTATAATTTTGCTACTTAAAATAATATTATAATATTATTATGATTATGATTTTTCTTTTCCATGTTTCAAAAATGATATATATATATATATTAGTTCAATAATAGCTTTAAGCAAATAAGCTGAAATATAAATACGAAAAATTTTTTGGAAAAAAAAACGAATAAGGGAGTTTTTTTTTTTAAAATATAAATAAGAGAAATATTTGTTAATGGAAGATTAGCAAATGAAATGAAATATTAAATAAAAAATAATTTGTTGTAAATCAAATTCATTTTTTTTTCGCTAATTTATAAATAATTTGTACAAATAAAACAGTTTGTTCGCTTTTTTTTTTTTGATAAAATTTGAAAATATATGCAATTGATTTTTGTAAAAATTATCAAATTGTACGCAATTTTTTTTTTCTGTAAATAGAAATTGTGAATTTTTCTTTTTTTTTTTTTGTAGAAAAAGTTGAAAAAAAAAATAATAAATTTTGAAATGATTACCAATTTAATAATTTGATATAAGAAAACACTCATCGTAACATTAATAATTTTATTTGGATGTATCACCGGTCGTGTACCTTTCTTGTAATACTTCAATAAATCGTTATGTAACCGATATGTTAATGGTACATCACGTTCCAATGATTGTCCCAATCGTTCGGTATGTTTTGTATCATTGTTTGTTGAATTATTACAACATGATGATATTATTGATGTTAGCAAAATTAACAGAAGAAATATTGAATAGATGAAATGCAGGGGAATCATTATTGCCATGATTTGGGTAATTTTTGATAAATTACAAATTCTTTAAGTAGCAATTTTTCCGTTTAAATGGTAAGAATTCGAAAAATCCGCATATCAAATATCATTTTCTTTCCAATTAATGGCTGTAAAAAAAAAAAGAAAAAAAGGAAAAATATGGAAAAATTGAATAAATTGAATAAATTAAACGAAGAAAAGAAGGGATGAGCGAAATGCATTGAAATTATCACTATGATTTACGTGATTTTTGAAAATTATAAATTGTTCAAATAAGAGTATTGCTAATTGAATGATAAAAGTTCGAAAAATTCACAATTTGAAATGTTAAGGAGGGAAAGAATCTGTAAAAATTAAACAAACCAGAAAAAAACAAAAAAAAAATTTTTCGTTTTACTCTTTGAAACAAAACGTTTTTTTGTTTTGTTATTTAAAATTGAATTTTGTAAATTATTGAGTTTTTTTTTCAAAAAAAAAGACAAAAGATGTGGAAAAGTTCGCATTTTTTTAAACATTTAAGCCAAAAAAGAAGTCAAAAAAAAGAGAGAAAAAAGCGAATTAATAGTGTTTTTATATTGGAATATAGTGAATGTAAATAATAACTGCTGCAAAAAGAAAAAACAAAAAAAAATTTTTTTTTCTTTCATTTTTTTTTTTCTGTCAAAAAAAAAAAACAATTATTAAGTCAAGGAAAAAAGCAATAATAGGGGTTTTGTTATCGCCGTCAAACCATTTTTTTTGTTTTTTGAAGAAAAATTGTTTTTTTACTGATGGAAAGATAAGTTTAACTGCGGAGTAGAATGCTTCAAATGGATGCATTGACGGACGGATAGGCGAAATAACGAACGGACAGGTGGACGGATTGGCGGACAGGCGGATGGAAGCATTGATGGATAACGGGAAGGCAGATGGAGAAATGAATTGATGGACGAACGGTGAGACAGATTGGAGGATAGGTGGATGCGGATGGACACACTGATGGACAGATGGATTGACGGATAGACGGATTGGTTGGGCAGATGGATGGACACATTGATGGACAGACGGATTGACGGACGCACAACCGGACTGACGGGTAGACGAATGGACGGGTTGAGGGAAGAACGGATGGGCAGATTGACGGACGGACGGATGAAAGGATTGACGGACGGACGGATGGATGAGTTGACGGGCGGACGGACGGATGGACGGATTGACCGAGGATAGGCAGACCGGTTGAGAGCGGGTCGATGGAGTGGCGGATGAGCGGACACATTGATGGACAGATGGAGTGACGGACGAATGGACGGATAGGATAGATTGAGGGATTAACGGACGGACGGACGGGTGGATAACGGATGGACGACGATGGACGGATGGTTGGGTAGATGAATGGATGTGTGAACTGGATGAATGGGTGGTTGGAATGGATGGTTGAATGAATAGATGGATGGAGATGGATGAATGGATGAATGACGTGGCGGAATCAAAAATGGGTAGTATTAGCGGATGATGTTTGAAGTGGTGAAAAAGACAAACAAAATAAGAAAATGGTGAAATTGGAATTGCGGTCCAATAAAGGGCATTGATTCATTGAAGGATGTATATGTGAGAGATATTGAGAAGATATGTTAAAAGAAAGAAAGTTTTCAGAAAGCTTTGACATTTATTGCTTTTCCACTTTCTTTCTTCTTTCATTTTTATCTTTCGCTCTTTTCATTTCAAATCCATAAATCATCACTTTTAATGCAAACACTCTTTTATATTTTCATCATTTAGCTTATCACATTTCAGTATATTATCACATATATATTGAAATTGTCATACTTTTACTACACATATAAGTATGTCGCGTATGTATGTATGTGTGTATGTGTGTGTCTGTGTCTATGTGTCCCTATACATATGTGTATTTATCTATACATTTATATGCGAAAATTATGAGAGTTTTGGTATGATGCAAACTTATGTATGTATGTATATGTTCTGTGAATGTATGTGTACGTCTGTCTGTGTCTGTGCATATGTGTGGATGTGTCTGTCTGTATCTGCGAATATGTAAATGTATGAGTGTGTCTGCTTGTATCTACGACTATACAATATGTATGTATGCGTACGCATGTGTGTGTTCCGTATTGTTTCATATACGTGTGTGTGTGTGTGTGTATGTGTGTATGTATATGTATGTGTGTGTATACAAACTCACCTAAACATTACCAATTTAAATTTTAAGATTACGGTAAGAAGCGGAAGCTTTTTTGAATGCAAAAAGCAGAAATTTGTAAAATGCAAAAAAATTCCATTTAACTATTAGCCAATTTCAATTAGAAATTGGTGAAATTTATGCAAAAAAAAATGTTATTAAATTCAAATTTGACAAATAGTTTTGTTGTAAATTTTAAATGTACCAATTAACAAAGTCAAGAAATTGTTTAAAAATTTGATTCAAAAAGTTATAATTTAATAAATGTACATGAATAGAGGCTGCAAATTATTCATATATAATTAAATTTTATTTGCGAAAAAAATCTTTTCCCACAAATAAACGAAAACACAAGTAATTAACAACCAATAAAGTAACTGAATACTTAAAATAATCCTTAATATGCATTGCAGTAAAAAGAAAAAAGAAAAGAGATTGAAAAATGGAAAATATTTTGATATTTTTTATTATTATTTATTAGCAAATAAACTTTTCATTAATAATAAGTAATAAGATATTTATTTTGCATTAAAATATCAAAATGAACACGAAGTGGGCATATTTAATTTATTATTTATTTGCAACAACAAGTCGTACATTTTGTAAATTATAATAATTAATTATTATTATTATTATTACTATTTGATTTGGATTTAAAAAAAGAAATGGTTAATGAAGATTGTGAAATAAAATAATTCATATCACCAAATTTTTAAATACTATATTTCCTTGATTAAGATAAGCAAAACGTTAATGGATTAATACAGCTTGTAAATGAAAACAATTAATTAGGATATAATTTTAGAAATCAAAAATTTTTGAAAATATACTTTCACTACCATCATCATCATCATTATCATTATCATTATGTCATTATCACTGTCATCATCTCTTTGTATATATGTATATTTACTGCAAAAATTGAAATCACCGGAAGTAACGAATGATATCATGCCAAAAGCAAGCCTTCATATTTTCAAAACGATCGAAGCATGGAAGAAATGATATATCCAGTTGTGTTACATTGCCTAGAAAAAAAAAAAAAAAAAAAGAAAAAAGTAATAATAATAATAAAAATCAAACATGGGAATAAGAAAGAAAAATAGGAAAAACAAACATTTTGATTGACATAACTTTAAAGATGTGAAAAAGAAAAAATTAAATTTTGAAATTACATAGAATTTTTTTCGGATGGTTTTTTTTTTGCCATTTATTTTTTGAGATTATAATTTTTTTTTATTCTATTAGTCAAAATAAATGGTAAGAGGGAAAAAGAATACTATTACAGTAAAAAAGAAAAAAAAGAAATGATACCACTAGATTAATTAATAATATCATTTTTGGATCTTGCAAAAGTATTATTTTTTAAAACTTTTTTTTAACAATTCATATTTACTGATTGAAAATATGATATTAATTAATTTTTAACAAAGTTTCAATGTCCGATGTAATTTTTTCATTTTAGTGCAAATTTTATAACAGATAAATTTGAAATATTAAAGAAACCTTCAAGTTATATGGTCAAGTATATAATTTTTGATTTAATTTAAATTTAAATTATTCAGCTTTTTACTAGCATTATCATGCAATTCCAATACATTTCATCAATTTCTGTTAAATGATTAAACGGTAGTTTTTTTTTTTTTGCTTGTCATAAATAATCTTAAACGTTTGCAAATAATAATCCTTGGGAAAAGCTTAATTAGAAATTAAATAATAAAACGGAACAAAAACAAAAAAAAAAATTCCTTGCTGCAAAATTAAATTAGGTATTTGCAATGATATAAATTTCATGATTGTTAACAAAAAAAAGGGAAAAAACTTTTACCAGGCCTTTGATCACAAAATGTTAAACATTTTGCGCCAGCTAAAGTTGTCGTTACACCATTCCGCAAACAGCATGATCTATGATCACGTCCTTGCGCAGCGCAAAATTGCATATCTCTCATTGCTTTCATTGGACATTGATCTTGATGCAAATACATTGACATTAACTAAAATGTTAATTTTTTATTATTTGAAAACTTTAAAATTATCATACATACCTATTGCATATGTTATAAGGACTAAATTTCTATCAAATATAATTTTTAAATTTTGAATTTAAGAAAAGGAAGAGAGTAAAGTATGCCAAAAGAGCGCCTTATTTTACCGCGTTTGGAATATCTTTCAAAACATACCAATTACATCATCATCATCATCATTAAAGTCTTAAAGATTGTCAACCACTATTGTATCATTTCGTCAAATAGCGTAATTTTTTTTAATAATAGTTAAAAGATGATAAAATCGTTCGATTTTATTCTTAAAAAAATTTTTTTTCCAACTGAAACTTTTATTCAATTGTAATTTAAAAAATTTTTTGTTTTCCACAACTTTTTCTTTCTTTGAAATTTTCACTTTTTTCTTTTCTCTTTTATATTAAAATAATTAAAATCACTTTGTAAATTTAACAAAAAAAAGAAAAAATTTCAATTCGTTGATTTTTTTTTTTGGGTATTTGAAATCAAAACATGGAAACATACGGCCTGTTGATTGAAATAATTAAAATTGCATTTATTAAGACATGCATCTGGTAACTGCCGATCCATGCAACATTCCAAAAATGCTTCATTTGGATCCTAAAATTTTGAAAAATTATTAAAATTTATAATTACGAATTAAAAATTTACATATTTATGAAAAATTCATATAAACATAATTATAATGGATTATATGCATATCAAATATGCCTATAATCAGTCCGGTCATTTATGCTAATTATTAATATTAATGTTGTAAACAACATTCATCATTCATTCAAATGCTATATAGCTACAATAAATTGTATTAAAAAATGTTTGAAAATTTTAATTTTAAATAACTTCAATATTTTAAATTTGCTTATTTCTAGGCAGTAAAATTATACATTTTACATTTGATAATTCAGTAATATTAAATTCCAAACTTCTCAATCATAAGTTTATCATTAATTCGTTCAATACAAATTTTACTTTTTTTAAAATGATATTCATTCCATGCTTATTCAAAAAAAAAAAAGAAATTTATAATTAATTAATGTAATAATTGAAATTGGAATACTCACACATTAATATCTCTTTTCAGTACTTTTTGTTAATTTACAACTTACACAAACTACATAGTAAATTTAGAAATTTGAAACAATCAAGCCTAAAAATAATTGTAAATAGTAATCTATGCATTTGTGAATGCTTTTAAATAACTTTAAAATTTTAAATTTGATTTTTTAAATTTGAAATTTTTCAATTTACATTTACAAATATTACAAGTACAATTCCAAAAATTTTTTATCACAATTATTTTTTTCGGCTAAAATCATGATCGATCGATCAATAATCCCTTTGTTATTAATTTGTTATCATTGATTATAACATGTTATATGTTTGAATATACTGTACAATGTAAGCTAAAATTGTGCATTTATTATACCTATGTGCTCTAACAAAGAGAAGTTCCATTCTACATGATAATTCTTATAATCTCAGAACTATACCAGAATCCTCTTTACTCAAAGAAGCGGGAGAGCGGGGAAGCGGGAGAGCGGGCTAAGAAGTCATGAATGCCAAAACCATTTTAAAAATGTATTTCAAATACGTTCGTTACATGAATGATATTGAATATCGGTTATCATTATTAATTTGTCTTTTTAATGACCTAAGTTCATTGTTGTATTTAACAAAATTTATTATAATAAAGACTTTAATTATATCAAATTTGTGATATTATAAATTAAAAAATTTAAAATAAATTCCTCAATGTTTGTTATGGTTAAAATGGAAATTTTTTTAAAATATAAATAAAAATTAAGCAAAATTTATATTTTCAAATAATTTCAATTTTTCAGTATTATAAGCTTTTCATAATTTAAAAAAAAAAGAAAACTTATTCGGAATGCTCAATCAAAATTTAAATAAATTGAAAATAATGAACTGGAATAAAAAAAAAAAATTTCATTAACCCGTAATATTCGTCCTTTTATTGGAAGTTCAGCAGCTGTTGGTGATGCCATTGCAAGTGCTCGTCGCTCATCCAATACTCTTAATGGTTTACTTTGTCTATAAAATTAATTTAATTTAAAAAGTTAAAATTTTATCAAAATATTAATTTAAAAGGAAAATTTAATTTCTATCAGGAAATATTACAAAATTAAAAATCTGAAAAATAATTTGAAAAAATGAAATGAAAAAA